TTCAGTTGTTCATTCCCACTCTCACTGATTCCTCTGCTTCAGATGAAATGCTCCACATGCTTGAAGGTGTATAAAACAAAGCTCCAGGCTCCGTTTTCTGCCCCCACCCACTAAAGCTCACCTTCCCTTATCAGTGTGCGCTGCTGCCAACCCCCACCCACACCACCTGCAGCGCCAGGCCACATCGCCACGGTTACTGATTAACCAGGACTTCCTTTTATCCAGGCCAGACGCCCCCGAGGTCACTGCCCGACCCACAGCGCGCCGCCGCCGACCTGATGCCACAAAAACACTCCGACTGTTTCTAAAAAATAAAATCAATCTCAACTCAATGACACTAATTTACTAGTTTTAGTGTTTATTGTTTTTATTTAACTGCACTGGATGAGACTAGAATGTTGTATTTATCTCCTGCTGCTGTTTAATATCGTAATGTTAGGAGAATAAATTCGTAATATTATGAGAATGAGATCAAAACCACAATATTCTGAGGTTAATGTGTTAGTACTAAGAAAACAAAGTCAAAATTACATGAATGAATTTATATATTGATAAATTCATTTTACGAGAAGTTGTATAAGAATCAGGTCAAAATAACACAAGAATAAAGAAACAATACGAGAATAATGAAAATAAAGTTATATCAGTATAAAGTCGAAATAATGCAAGGATGAAGTTATATTAAAAGATAAGTAAATAAAGTTGTAATAAAATGAGAATAAAGTGATAATGTTACAGGAATAAAGTCATAAAATGAGATTAAAGTTGACTGTGTGGCTAAAGCAGCGAGTTACAAATGGGATGTTTTTCAGAGCAGTATTTGTGTTCATGGGACAACAATTACTGTGACACACAGTCACAGCCATACAGTTACCCAAAAAATGTATAAATAGTTCTTATTGCCCCTTTTATTGTTATCACTATAGCATGACTGTGTTTCAGGGCCAAATAAGGAAAATTTAAAAAGAAAATTACAAAAATAAAATCATAAAATTACAAGAATATTAAAGAATATTAAGAATAAACTTGTACATCAACAAAGTCATGATATTATGAGAAGTTGTACATGAATAAATTTGAAATAACGCGAGAAAAAGTCATAATAAGATGAGAATAAAGTCGAAATAACAAAATGAGTCAGAATATTTTGAGATTAAAGTCATAACATTAGGAGAAAAAACCTGTACAAAACTAAATGTACAGTTTACAAGAAGTCCTACATAAAGTCATAATATTTGGAGATCAAAGTCAAAATAACGTAAGAATAAAGCTGAAATATTATAATTATTCTTACATTATCTTGACTTTATTCTCAAAATGTTATTATTATATTTTCTTGTTATAAAGCTATCGGTCCGCCCGTCGTAGTTGGGAGCATAATTTGGTAAACCTGACAGCCACATGCTTTTTAGGCCCAATTTAGTCCAAAACAGTGTTAACTTAGTATCTAGCTACAAGTACGCGCTGCGCAGTATATTTGCTGAGACTGAACTGAACAAATTGAACTTTCTGGTAATGGCAGCCGCTGAGTCAGACCCGATGAGGTCGCCTGCAGCGGAGGCGGCGTGTGCCCGCGCCGCGCCACATGGATGCCCACATGCGGCGCAGTTAGCTGTGCAGCGACGCGCAACACGCCGCCCAGGATGAAAGGCCTTCCCTCCATTACTGCCGGCCGCTGCCACTGCCCAGTGAACTCCCGTTTGATCTTAATGAGGTCACGCAGGTATGGCTGCACACGCCATCTGATTCTGCTACCTTCACGTTTTCAGCTGCTTCACTACAGGAAGGAAAAGCAAACATTGCTTCCTGCTCCTGCTGCACGCAGCTCTGCTTCAGACTTCTCGCTGTGTTTCTGTCTGTGAGCGATGATGAAGAAATACGATAAATTTCAGAAGCTGACTGAAGCCAGAAGGCGTTTCTGACCAATCAGCCAGATCCCAACAGGGGCGGCTCCAGGGCTGGGTTAAGGGGGCCAACCACTAAAACTGCAAGTTCATCTGAAGTCACTAAATAAACTATTTAAAACTATTTATTTACCCAAAGAAAACACATTAATCTGCTTAGCATAAAAGCTGCTCAGTAGATTTGTTTGTTACATGATTAGCCTGTTTAGCTTAGCATAGCTTACACTGCAAAAAATTGTTTTTGGCTAAGCTTCTAGTGCAAATTTCTTAGAACACTTGAAATAAGATTAAATTAACTTACAAGTAACTTTTCAGGTGATAAATATGAGCTTGTTTTAAGTCAGTAATTCCTTGATATTTATTTTTAAAAAGCACTAGATCCATTGGAAGATAAATCCACTTATAACAAAATATTTTCTCATGTTATGTTTGGTCTGTTCCAATAAACCAATAAATCAATTAATCACCAGATAACTTAAAGCAAACTCCATAATTTCCATTTGCATGATTTATCGTTTTTCAGTATTTCTACCAAAAACTGGATGATGAAAGTTTTCATCTGAAGCTTTTTTGAAGAACAATTTTGTTTACAGACTTCATAGTTCATTTTATTTATTTTTGTTTATTTATTTTGGATATTAAAATGTCTTCCAGTTCCAGTGTTAAATGCTCAGCAGAATTTAAAGTTTATTGATATTGTGAATGCGTTCTCGCATTATTCCATTGCTGTTAGTTGAAAATGATCTCAAAACAATAATAAAATTGTTTATTGCAATAACTTTTGATTTGATTTGAGTTATAGCCCTACTTTAATTTAAATTCCTCAGTGTAAACTGGGGGTTGTTGAAAACTGTAAACACACTGATGAGAAGTGGATAATTATAAAAAGGCATTAGCCACGGACACCTGTGTTTAACTTATCCCATCGCACTTGAGGCCTTTTCAGCAACACAAAGCATGAAATAACCTCAGACTCTTCTTCTTCTTCTAACGCCGTCGATCAAACATGGGAGGGTCACCGTGAGGCTTCTAACTGATCCCACCAAAACCCATCAACTGTGTCTCTGTCTGTTTGCACAGTAGTAAAGCCTGAGAGCCCCACCCCCTCCAACTTACCCTCCTCCATAAACCCGCCCTGTTTACGCACAATCTCCCAGCTGAGGAAAAATATAGAACAAGGCATCCAAAACAAATAGTTTGTAAACTTTAGAGTCCAGTTCTGTGTGTGCGTGTGTGTGCGTGTGTGTGTGGGCCGAGACCCTCGGCAGTGACATATAGAGCCGCTGATGTTAGCTCAGTGCCAGGTGAGTCTGTGAGCAAACACAGCGAACAATAGCTGCAGCCCATCTCCTCCTGTTAGCCCGGCGCGCTCAAAGACAGCCATTGTTCTGCTCACACACTCTGCATGTGTGTGTGTGTGTGTGTGTGTGTGTGTGTGCTACACACTGAGAAGATACCCCCACTGCGTACAGGTAGCACATCAACACATCCACTGACTCATATGGAGATGTAGTCAGGTGGAGTTTGTTGTTTAGCATCATTTAAGTGAATATTTTTTGAATGTCATCAGTGGTGAGAATACTTTGTTTGTAGTTTTTGCTAACTTTTGAAAACATTTAGCACACTTAGCTTGATAAATCCTAAAGCGCTAATTTGTAAGCTTTCATTTAAACATGACTTAAAGTTTTGGTTATTGTCTCTTAAAGGGGCGGTGTTGCGTGTTTTCCAGGATCATAGCACAATTAACTAACTATGTTACCTTCAGTTATTATAAAAATGATGTATATAACAAATATAACTTAGTAATTGAACAATTTGAAATTGGGCCTCTGTCTCTTTAAAATCTCGTGTTCGTTCTGAAGCTCCGCCTTCAGGAAGTCATCCCAACATGGCTCCTCTATTGACCCCTTAACGACATTTTTACCAGCGTTTCACTGAGCAGTAGCTCCTATAACGAGTTCAGCAGCTCCACCAGGTGTTTGCTAATTGCTGCTGGCTAGTCTGAAGGAGCTGACTGGGGGGGAGGAGCTTCGTCCTCGAAGGCGGAGCTAGGTCCACCCAGGAGTTTCACAGCTGAATGGTTGCCATGGAGATTCAATTATTTCTCAAACATACATGAAATAATCAAAGCAGCACTCCATGTATGTTTTAGTCGCGGGAATAACATAACACGATGTAAAGCTAAAAAAGGTGATTTTACATAATACTGCCCCTTTAAGAATTCTTCAAGTAGACATTAATATTCATGCTCTTATTTTGAAGTCTGTTTATGCAGCAGTTCTGTTTCCTCTCCTCACTTTCCTTCTCTCCCTCTCTGCCTCTCTTTTTTCACTATTATGATTTCAAACAAGAAACATACAGAAACAAAATAAAACAGTAGAGAACAAGATATACAATCTAAAGGTGTTATAGAATATAAAGATTCTAATATTAAAATTAAATTGGTTCTCAAGAATTGTAGTCTTACAAGGGCAGATATAATTAGCATTAAAGTCAGTGCGTTAGCATTAGCTTCCGCTAAATACAGTGGATTTAGCGGTTAGCATTAGTAAAACTAATGTTAATAATTAGTTCTGTAGCGTTAGCATATGTAACGTTAGTGACGCTAACTTTTGGGCAACCAGATTATCGCAGCTTTTCATATTTTACATACCCTGCACTTCTTAGATATTAACTATTTTATTTATATGTCAGATTTAATGTCAAAAACACTTTTTAAATTATATAAATTTTTAATTTTTTATCACAAAAGTCTGACATTTTACCGAGGCTGTGAAGAAGCAGAGATTCACCACACAGAGCAACTAAAGCTCTGATCCAAATCCAGTACTGTGGGAGTATCACAGTCAGAACCATCCCATAATAATAATAAATGCAATGACTAAGAAATGCAACACACCTCTGCTGTGATACAAACTCGAATTACGTCTGGATCCCAGCACAGTATTTCGGGTTGAGTTCTGGACTTTGGCCCATTGCAACATCTTATTATCGCTCTGTTTTTTGGCCATCCTGTTGTAGATAAATGAACCACTGTGGAGTCCAGTTTGGTTTACGTTTTACCTTTCAGACACAGAAGCATTTGACTGAGTAATATTCAGCTTGCAGACAGGTTCCCTCTCATTATGGCTGCAGCATCGTGGTTTCCCCTGGCAACCTTTCCAAAAACAGTCAAAATTAGTCAGATCTTTCTTCTGACTTCTACACATTAAATATTTAAATTAAATGCATTAAACCTGTTCTTGGGTGTTTGCATTTTTATCTGAAGTGTACAGTTGACATCAAGGTGAAGACTTATGTCACTTTATTTAAGATTTAAAATTTATTTTGAATATGATTGAATCTTAGGATTACAGATTAATTTTTTTTCAATGTTCTGAATATTATCGCAGCTTTTTTAAAGGTAAAAAAATGCAATTGGATCAGAAAAGTAGGTATTTTTCACCAATATATCAAAAAAGGAAAAAGCAAAGAAAAAGAAAAAATATAGAAAAGACAAAGAGTAAAAGAAAAAGAAATAAAGATAGAAAATGAAAACAAACAAGGAAAAAGAGAGAGAAGAGAGAATGAAAGAGAGAAAAAAAGAAAAAAAGGAAGACTGAAAGAAAGAACCAAGGGAATCCTACATCTGCTAAAATCTGGAGCTACTCCATTTTTGTTTACGTTTCGTGAAGAACAAAGTTGTGCTCAGCGTCTTCTTCAGAGGTTTTTGTGTCTTTTTTTCAGTATTTCTTGTTGCAGCGCCCCCACAGGTGAGAAAGGGAACAGGTTTTTCAAATTGGTTAGTTGGTTTGATTCGGTGCAGCAGCTGAAAATGTAACAAATGTTGCAACTTTTGTCCCCAATCAAAATTAATCTACTGGACAATCAGGCGTGAAAACAGCCTAAATATACAGTACGATTCTTAATTAGACAGATATTAGACCTGTTCACCAAACCTTATCCTTCTGATCTGCATGTTGAAAACTCATCTGGTGTTTTTGTAAGGTTTGGGAAAATAAAACAATAAAACTTTTTGCGGCCGACAGGTTTTTTCCTTGTTTGCAGCCGTCTAAGCAGACAAGGCGAACATCCTTGCTCCTCCTTAGCTGTTCTCCCTCCTCCCATCCAACATATTGTTCAAACACACCAGGTAAACATCTGAGCGGCGCATGCGTGTGCGTGAATTCAAGAGAAAAACCATCACGGCAACAAAAAACAGGGAAGGAAAAAGTCAGGATTTACAGGCAGAGATAGCAGGGCAGAAACACAGAGGCCTTTGTCTGCCTTATCCTCTCCTCATAAGTGTCTCACATTTTAACCCCATGACTTCTTCACCTCTCAATCCCCCCAATCAACCCCTTCACTTCCACACCCTGCCCCATTCATCCCTCCGCCCTGCGCTCCATCCCAGTGCAAACACTTCTCTGCGCCGCGGGAACAAAGCACGGATGAATAATGGCAGTGAAATGTCACCGTTTCTTCATGGCGGCCGCCTCCTCCCCTCGCTCCCCGCCAGCGCCGAGCCCAAGGTTATCCATTAACCCGCCGCCGCAGCACCTGAACCTGAACAATGGGCAGAAACACAGAACAGGGAGATGGAGGATAGAGGGAAAGAAAATGCTTTATCTTATTATTTGAACCCATTTAGGAATGCTGTGGAAAAGTTAACTCTGGGTGTAGCAGCTCACTTCATTAGAGCAACGGTTTCTACAAACATGGACGCTTTCTGAGGCAAAAACCCTCAATTTCTGACCAAAAAGTTCAATTATGGGATTGAGGAAGAACATTTTTCTGTTAGTCTTCTAAAAAATTGAAGGAAAATTTTTAGATTAAATTAAAATATACCTTTAATATGTAAAATTTACCCACTATTAGCTGGTGGCATTTGTAGCAAGCTACATTTCTAGCTACAATTATATCAGTAATAGGATTGAGAAATAAAGTCTTTTACTGTGGTTTGACTCAAAACGTCTTCTAAAATTTTGTAGGGAAAGTTTAGACTAAATTAAAATAACATGGAAAATTGACATACTACCAGCAAATAGCATTAAAATCTCACTAAATTTCTAGATAAAATATCTAGTGACATCAGTAATAGGATTGAGGAAGCAAGTTTTTTTTCTGTGATTTGACTTGAAAATTTCAAATCAGATTAAAATATACCTTTAATATACATTTAATTTGTCAAATTTACACTCTACTAGCTAGTAGCATCGGTAGCTAGCTACATTTCTAAATACAGTGTCTAGAAAGATCAGTAATAATATTTTTTTCTGTGGTTTGACTTGAAAATTTTAGATAAAATTAAAATATTTTAGTATACCTATGATGTGTAAAATTTACTATCTAGTAGCATTTGTGTAAATCACATGTGAACATCATGTACCACATGAATATACACGCGGTCCACACAAATATTCACATGTGAACAATGTGAAACACGTCAAAGCACATGAATACGTGATTTTGGAATGTTTTGTGGTAAAACCCCATGTGATTCAAATGTTTTCACATGTGATTCACATGTACCACATATTGAATATGTGATACACATGAAATAGATTTTAATTGGTCTAGTGGCTTTTATTTGATAGTAAATTGACAAAAAAGTGGGTAATGAGAGAAGGGGAAGACCGGGAAGTGAACCCACAACAGCCGCATTGAAAACTAGAGCCTCCATATGTGGGTTGTGCTTAACCAGGGGTTAACCACAGCACACCCTGCCAGTAATATTTCAAAACTCAGATTTCTATGTTAGTATATACTTTACACCATTCTGTGCCATTCTGTGTTAGATTAACACGTTGATAGTGTTAACTTTTGACAAAATACACTAGTGCTGGGTAGATTAACACTGAAGTGTGTTTGATTTCAACTAGTATGAGTGTTGATTCAACTCTATCACAAATAACACTTTCAAAAGTGTAACTTCTACACCATCCAGAGTGGACCAATATAGACACTTTCTATATTTCTATAAGCGTTGAATTTAACTCTGTAGGAGTTGATGGAAAACTTCCAAATTTGCTGTGCATATTTCAAGTGTATCACATGTGATACACATGAAAACATGTGAAACATGGATACAACACGTGAAGGGGAAGTGGTCACACATGTGAAATCCATGTGAAAACAATGCAATCACATGGGTTTTTACCACGAAATGTTCCAAAATCACACTTATACATGTGCTTTTACATGTGTTTCACATGTGTATCACATATTCTATATGTAGATACACAAGTGAATACATAGGGTCCATGTGTTTTTAACCACGAAATGTTCCAAAATCTTGCCCATAATTGTGCTTTTACATGTGAAATTCACATGTGACTTTCACATGTGAACTTTTTGGAAGGGCACCACCCTTCAATGAAGTGCTGCTACTAAATTTTGAGCCGTGTTGTCGCTGAGCCGTCGGGTTGTTGATGAATATATTAATTTTTTTCACACTAAGTTCTTTCAGCCAGTGAAACTAAAAATAGCTCCTTATGATCCCTGGTTGTTTATTTGTTCTGCCCTGTAGTTTTTGCCCGTTGAGCAATCAGAGGGCTTTTTGAGTCATGGCGGTTTGGTAGTGACCCACCACGGTAACCAGAACCCTTCGGAGATTTTGACCCGCTTGCATACGGAGGGGAGGCGTGGGAGAGCAGAGACGTCGACGAGTGGAGGCAGCGCGCTCGGTAAATAAGACGTTGGATTCATGCAGCGGATGTTTTGAGGGAAACAGGCCCGAGGATGTAGCGGCGCTAACTTTGGGTCTTTTCCCTCTCTGTTTTCAGGAGAGGAAATGAACCGAACTGGACCCGTTCTGTTTGCCTTGCACTGGACCCTCACTGCATCTGCAGCAGGACACTTCCTCCATTGATGCACTTCATTTTACGTCTTTCTCTGCATCCAAAACGCACCATCGCTCTCACGGAGCCGCAGAGACGTTTCGGTTTCTGTTTGCACAAAATATCACTGAAAAGATGAGGAAACGCTTAAATCTGTTTGGATGTTAGCAGCGCAAAATTCTGTCACATTGAGGAAATAATGACACCAATCAAGATAAGGTTCATTTTTCTCTCAAACTGATGAAAATATTTCTTGGCTTTCTGGGGGAAGAATATTAAAATTCTCAATACAAATGCCAAACTACCTGTGTCTGGCCCCTAGGGGCAGTAACGCTAAAAAAAAGCTCAAAATGCAAAAATATGAAAATGTCTAGTTTCACAAGTGTAACTTTTTCAGCCAAGAATATTAAAATGCTCAATAAAAAATGTCAAACTACCCTTTATCGGCCACTAGGGGGCAGTAACACTAACCATGACACCTCAAAATTCAAAATAAGAAAATTTTTGTTTTTACAAACCACAAGAATGTTAATTTTTCAACCAAGAATATTGAAATTTTCAACAAGAAATGCCAAATTACTTGTGACTGGCCAGTAGAGGTGATGACACTCAAATTACCATTTACCTGCCACTAGGGGGCAGTAACAGTAAAAATAGTAGCTTCACATTCAAAAATAAGAAAATGTCTGGAAAATTAGCCATTTCAAAAACATCCAGAAAGTAACTTTTTTCCAGGCAAGAACATTAAAATTCTCAGTAAAACATGACAAACTACCTGTGACTGGCCAATAGGGGGCGATAAAAATATTGGGTTTCTAAAAACAGACAAACGCTTAAGAAGAAACACCAAAGCAGTTTTTGATAAGTTGATGATTTTTGGTGTCTGGAAAATGAGCCATTTCAAAAACATCCAGAAAGTAACTTTTTTCAGGCAAGAATACTGAAATGTTTAATTAAAAAAATACCTATCTACCTGTGACCAGCCACTAGAGGGCGATAACACTAAAAATAACAGTTCAAAATTCAAAAACAATAAACATGGTGGAGGAAAGGAAGGAAGTAGCAAAGACTGAAGGAAACATACAAACAGGTCTGCTATGATAAATGTTGCTAGATTAATTTAGAAAGTGATTAACTGATTTATTAAGGACCTGAAGGAAGGAAGCAACAATAGAAGGATATTTAGAAGATCATGTGGAAAAACTGTTACTATTTAACAAGCGTTGGATCTAAACCTGGATCTCAGCGCTTTTTGGAGTTGCTTTTCATTTTTCATCTGAGTGTTTTCTCCGATTTCTCAGCAGGAGAAGGAAACCAGCTGCGGAAAGAAAAGTGAATGAATGGTGGTGTTATTTATTTGGTTTGGTTGACTGAAAAATTACCCGCCATGTCGCTAATTTTGTCCCGTCTGAGCAGCAGACCCCAACAGGGAGCGTGTGTGTGTGTGAAAAGTGTAAGAAACCTTGTGTAAATGACTGATTTATGCGTATTATCTATTTATGGCATGTTTGTGGGAAATTGTGTGTGTGTGTAGCAGAATTTCAGCAGCCACGTGTAAACTCCAGGAGCGGAGCAGCTGCTCTCTGAAATGGCTCAGGAAAAGGAGAGTCTTTATCTTTTTATATACAGTAGATGAAATTTACTGTATATGAAATATAGGCGAAGAAAAGGTTCCTGGTATTATGTTGTCAGTCGCAAGATTATAATAGTTTTGGGGTTTTCAATGTGGTTTAGTTTTATTTCGTTGTGACTTTTTGTCTAATTCAGTTAGTTTTAATGCGTCCTTATGGCGTGTTTTTATCAGTTATTGTTGTTTAAAAATGGTTTAGCTTTTGTGTAGTTCCTATTAGTTATAGTGTTGGTTTTAGTTTTTCATATTAAAAAGGTGAAAGTATTGTGGTTATCGATTGGTAATGAATAGTCAACACAACCATTTTCTAAAAAATTATTCAATTATTGTTAAACAACCAACTTTTGTTAAACTTTATTGAATATAAAATATTGATAAATCTGCAAAATATTTTGTGGACTTATACAAAATGCTGGACATTTTGCTTCAGCTGACGCAAACTGTTTGTGTTGGGGAAACAAAATCTGTTTCACATCAGTTCAAAGGCTAATTACTAAATTAAAAAACAGGAAAATTAGGAATATTATAATTTTGGTATGTTTTAGTTTTATAAATGCACAATATAGTTCCACTAAATACTGTTTTTATTTATTTCACTTAAAAATGTTCTCTCAGTTTCAGTTTCTGTAGTTTTAGTTAGTTAACTGTAATAACCTTGAATGATGTCTCCATCAGTTAGTTTTAATTAGTTGTTAGAGTGTTTGATAGTTTTTACTATCAATAGTAGTAGATTCGATTAACATTTAGGAGCAGAATTAAAAAATATTGTGATCATGTACACATCAAATGGAAATGAAAACAATTTTTTAAAAATTCATTCAGTTATTGTTGATAAACCGAATGACTTTGGCTTTTTCTCCTAACTTTTGGTGCCGCCATGAAGACTACGGAGTGCTGAAATTTAACAAAATCTGACAAAAAAATCCATTTCACTTCAATTCGAAAGGCTATTAATAGATTTATAAACACAAAAACGAAAAAAAATCTGTAATTTCAGTATGTTTTAGTTTTATAAAGGTTCCAGTTAGTTATCATTTTCTTCATTAGTTACCATTTTTATTTATTTCAGCTAATGAAAATGTTTTCTCAATTAAAAT